CCCAAACCCCACAGGCCTTCCAGCACCAACTTACGAAAACAAAAAAAAAACCAAAAAAAACCTGACCTTTTTTTCTCTCCCAGCTTTCCCCATCTGCCTCATTTTCACTATATCATCTCACTGTTTTTAGGGACACTGGAGATTTCGTCTGGAGTTTGCCTGCCGAGGCCCTTTCACCAGGTGAATACCTAAGCCCCCCTCAAACCCCACCGGCACAGGTACGGGCAAGGCAGAGATGCCAACGGGGCAGCAGGAGATGGGCAGTGCTGGCATGGTACAGGAGCACGAAGGCCGCTGTGCCACCACGTCCAAGCCAGCGCTGAACTGAAAGCACATCCAGCCACGCACAGGTCCTCGTGGGCACGCGACGTCCCAAATTTCCTTCCACCAAAGCACGCTGCCGGAGACGAGCAAGCACAGCTCCAGCACAGCCGGCATGCCGGCTCGTTTGCCTTTTATTAGATGGTAAATTTGCTCCATGCTGGAAAGAAAATGCAGTTCCTGCATAGATATACACACACATATACATATATATATATATTTTCAGTTTTTTTCCCCGCATACATTGGATTTTTTCCCTTTTTGGTGGAAGTGAGCGGAGCGGTGACAATCTGGATCGCCGCGTTTCGCTTCCAAACCTAAGCTCTCAGTTAACACACCGGCTCGGTACGCCAGCAGATGCTGTCTAAGCCTTTAAATCGCACACTAATTGCACTAATTGAGCTAACAGTCTCTGTTTCGTCTCCCTACCCTGAGTCAACCAGCATCTTCTGGTACTGCTGTAGAGATCCAAGCTGTTGACTGTAGTGTTATTTTGTCAGCCATTAAACGATTCATCAGAGTCATTAATTGATTTATTACCACTGCCTGCGAGTATAGCTTTGCAAATAAAGAAGGATGGAGGTCAGGAGGCAATGGAAATGGGACAAAACAGCCCAGCCAGGAGCTGGGCATTTGAATTATCAGTAGGAGCCCGCTCGTGCAGGACCCACTGGCATGAGGTTATGGGGGAAAAACCAGGGGAAAAAAGGAAAAAGAAAAGATGTGCTGTTTGGGTGTGCTGCCAAACCAGTTAGGTTTTCCAGCTAAAATCTATGTAGGATGGAAAAGGGCTGTTAAAACCGTCTCGTTTTCTTAACCTAATCCTTAGGAAGAAACCAGGTTATTCCACTGTATTAATCATGTTTAAGAGCAGCGGGGAAGAGGCACCGGCGCGGCTGCCCCCAGCAGCTCCCCGGCCCCCGGAGCAGCCCCGGCTGCCCCGCGAGCCTTTCGGTGTCACCCTAATTTGCTTTCCCAGGCCGGCT